TATGCACCATACTCAGCAGCAGTGACTCGCACAGCTTGGATATGAGGAGACTCCTGATTTTCATTTCAAAAAGAAAGAAAGAAGGATGGAGAGAACAAAAGGAGAAAGGAAAGGGAAGAGAATGAAGAAAAACCATTTATTAGAGAACATATGTATTTTGGGGAGGTGTGGCACTGTAGGATAAGTACTGAACTGCTAACATCAAACTTGGCACTCCAAACCCACGAAGTGTCCTTCAGAACCACTATACATAGTCCCTATGAGTCAGACCCGACTCCAAGGCGCTTAAAAACAAAACGACAACATATATATTTTTTAGAATTTCCTGGGTCATGAAAATGGCTGGCACTTGACTGCTAACTACAAGGTTGGTGATTCAAACCCACCCAGTAATACTGCAGGGGGAAAAAAAAAGCCTGGTGATCTGCTTCCCTAAAATTGGATTTGAAAAATCAAAACCATTTCCATTGAGTTAATTCCAGCTCATTCCACCTTATAGGGCAGAGTTGGAACTTCTCCAAAGGGTTTTCGAAATTGTAAATTTTTTATGGAAGCAGATTGTCACGTCTTTCTCCCATAGAAGTGATAGATTTGAACTACTGACCTTTCGGTTAACAGTCCAATGATTAACACACTGTGGTATGAATGCTCATTTTGGAAACATTAGTGTGAAAAAAACCCTCTGGGATAGTTCTAAACGGAGTTATTACCCATTTGACAGCAACTAACAATATATATATTGTCAAACAGATCCAGCGATTGTGTGTGAAAACCTGCAGAGACATTTGTGACTCTAAATGAGTCTACCTTTCTCCAAAGAGGATTCATTCTGTTTTCATCATGCATCCAGAGTAAGGAAAAGTCTCTTAAATCCAATGGAGGGTGGAAATAATTCTAATTTGGACTTCAGTTCTTTTGAAGGACTTTTCTAGAATGTTATGGATTGAATTGTGTGTGTCCCCTCCCCCCCAACCCCACCAAATACTGTTTTAAACCTGAAGCCCCTATACATTTGCAGATAATCTCATTTGGAGACTGGACTTTCTTAGTTATGCTAATGATACTATATTATTGTAGGGAGTTTCTTAAGCCAATCGCCTTTGAGATATAAAAATAGATTAGGCACAGAGAAGGAACCATAAATGGAGAATTATGGAACATACATGAATATCACCAAGGAATTGAGAAACAGCAGCTGAATAGAGACAAGGACTATATCCTACAGCCAACAGAGAACAGAAAACCTTCCCCTAGAGCTGCACCCTAAATTCAGACTTTTAGTCTCCTAAACTGTTGTGGTGTGGCACTGTAGGATAAGCATTGGACTGCTAACAACAAGATTAGCAGTTCAAACCAACAAGCTGCTCCTTGGAAACCTTATACAGGGTCGTTATGACTCACAACCAACTCAGCAGCATTTAAAAAACAACAAACAGTACAAAAATAAGTCTGTGTTTGCTAAAACCACCCACTTGTGGTATTTCTGTTAAAGCAACATTAAGAAATGAAGACACAGGGTGTAGTTCTACAAAGAGCCAAAGCCTCTTCATGTTTGGCAGACCCCACCTCCAGTGTGTTCCTAGTCCTGCATGACTGCTGAAAGCCTGGCTTACTCCTCAGTTTCTTAGCCATAATTTTGCTTTTGAAATTGACAAGTTCCTTGTGACAGAAAGCAGCCCCAGATGTGTTCTTCATCTCCCTTGGCTTCCCTCTTCTAGATCCTTGTCCTGTAAATTCTCACTCTCTTGGAAGATCTCCAATACCTTCAAATGGGTTTAAATATACTTTGGCTGATTTTTTGTATTATTCTCAGGAGTCTGGATCTAAGTCAATTAAATAGCCAGAAGTAGAGGCTTCTGGACTACTTTGATTGATTGTGTCACTCCTCATCAAGTCTAGTTAATCATCTTGGATTGCTCTTCAATCGCTCAGTATCTTCCTCTTCCTTTATTGCCTGTCCTGCTCATCCATATAAAGTCACCTATTGACCTTATGTTCGTATAGGTTACCACTGTCTGGAACATTCTATAAGGTCTTCCAGTCAACAGGATCTCACCAATCTAAGCTTGTTGAGGACTATGTAGCATAAAATATCCTAGAGATGAAATAGTTACACAGGAATCTGTTGCAGACCGTGCAGACCCGGTCAGGAGTTCAAGGCCCTGTTGCAGACCGTACAGGCCGAGGGCTCTGAGGAACAAACTCTAGCCACTTAGCAGACATAGCAAACTGTCTTTCATCTTATTGTTCAGTTATGTTTATTATTAATTTCATACATAAAACCTTGATATCCACAGATAAATGTAAGAAACTTTCCTAGAAGCTGAGACTGTAAAAGTTTTCAAAGGTAAAGCTTTTCTCCCAAGGATTAACTAAAAATAGTTTGGCTACTTCCCAGTTCTTTGTTCTAAGGACAAAAGGACACCCTCCCTAAAGTGTTTCCAGGTGCAGCCCTATTCACCCAGTCGTCTCACTTCCTGAGAAACCTGGGCTGGGCAGTCACTCAATGGGACTCCTCCCAATCCTCCTTCTTCTTCCCCTATTTGAGGCTAGGTGCTAAAAGGTATGTTAATGAAGCTTGAGATTAGAACCTGCTAAGTACAATGTAAAGTTGCCTGAATGTCTGGAATATTACGAATGTTCCTTGTCTTAGTCTGTACCTTGTTTTAGTTCCTCCCAGCTTTGTGTAAAGTACCTCCCCTAAATAAAACAGAGGCGCAGGCCGAACCAGGTGTGCATTACAGCTTGGAGAGTGTGCTATACGGCTGACTAGGCATGCGTTGATGACTAGCTAGTAAGGGGTGCGTACTGCCTGCATAGCTACGATGTTTACTATGTGGGATCTTACCGCCCTTATAGCTCAGATGTTTACAACGCTGGATCTGCAGGACACCAGTAATGTATCCACTCTGGTTTCGGTGTCTCTTTGCCTCTCTCGTTGTGTGTCTGTGTCTCCTCTTTTGCTATCCCTATCGCCGCCAGATATCCCCACCTCGTGAACCAAACATCCGTGTCGAGGCAGGCCCCCGACAGGAATCCCCTTTCCCACCCCTCAACCTCAAATGCCACAGTTAGGAAAGTTAATAATATCCTACATATAATCCACATGTATACTCACTGTTATCAACTGTCATGTTAATTCTGATTCATGGTGATCATGTATGTATCAGAGTAGAACTGTGCTAGATTGAATTTTCAGTGCCTAATTTCTCAAAAATAGTAGGTGGTCAGGTTTTACTTCCAAGACACCTGTGGATGGACCCAAAACTTCCATCTTGGGTTACAAACAGAATGCATCAACCACTTACACTATCCAGCATCTACCCAACAGGACAAAGATAACCACTTTTTAGCTTGCAGTCAACTCTTTCACCTAATGGGAGGTAACCAGAACCCCTTTTATACTGGCAGCAGATTCAAAGACATTGGGTCCAAGGTCATCTGTGTACAGTGACTGAAACAGGGACAGGTAGAGCCACCACATCCTGCAAATGGAAAGAGCTGTTATCCCACAGTAGACAAAATCAGGTATTCCTTAAGAGTTTGTTTTTGTTTTTGTTTTAAAGTATGGCCTTTTTAGGGGTCCTGGTAGCACAGTGCTTAAGTACTGAGCTATGAAGTGAAAGCTGTGGCAGTCTGGCTCCATAAAGATTTATTTACAGCCTTGGATATGCTATGGGGCAATTCAACTTCATCCTAGAGGTTTGTTATGAGCTGGCATCGACTCTATGGAAATGAATTTGGTTTGGGGAAGGTCTCTTTAATAAGATTGTTTAAAAGTCTTGATATTTAAAGTGAACTTTGAAACTAGGATCAAGCAAAGATAAATATTGCTAGATAGTAATAAAATAATTTGGTAAAAGATAAAAACTTGTGTGTGATGCACAATATAGAATCAGAATGTGAGCAATACAAACAGAGCAATCTATATCAAGTAAGCACACAGACTATGTATGTGTGTCAGGGGTGGGGTAGGGAGGTTGTTGTTAAGTACCATCAAGTTGGTTCTGACCCATAGCAACCCTGTATAGGGTTTCCAAGGAGAGGCTGGTAAGCTTGAACCACTGACCTTGCAGTTCAAACAGCTTTGCTGTCTGGCACATTAACCCACAGTGCTACACCAGCACTCCTGGGGTAGGGAGGTACTAGATAATGTTGCTAAGCACCCTCACAGTATACTACTTATACAAAATATATTCCTGCCAAGTAGGCTGCATATTATCCAAACACAGCAGAGTGCTCTTTAATCACTAACTGATAACCTGGATTTGTCAGGCTATTGGTTAGCAGGTTAAAGGCTTACTCTGAATAAATCCAGCTCCTTAATGATGCTAATTTAAAAACCTAATGAGAAAATCTGGAAGAGAAGATGTAGAAATAAAAATAATTTTTGTTCTAAAGTGAGGGGTTTATGAAATTTTCTTCTGTTTTTTATTTCCAAAATCCTTTAATCTATTACATATTATTAGCAATGATAAACATCTACATACAAACATACATTCATATATACATATACCCATGCTGTTGCTTTTGGATATCTTCATGTCGATTCTGACTCACAGCAACCCCATGTGACAAAGTAGAACTGACCCCAGGAATTTCCTAGGCTTTAGTTTTCATGGAAGCAGATCACTAGGTCTTTCCACTACAGAGTAATGGGTAGGTTTGAATCGTCCATATTCTGAAAGTAGCAGAGCATTTAACTATTGCACCACCAAGTCTCCTGATATCTGTACACACCAAATAAAAATGCTACAACAAAGAAGAGGCAACATCCAAAAAGCATCCAACGAAACTGTCTTTTGAACTTAGAATTTAAAAAGTTAATTCCAGTAATATAATAACAACTTCATAGGAATACTAGGAGAGTCTTAGAATTAGAATGAAATCATTCTGATTGTCAGGTGGCCTCTTCTACTTTTCTTTAAACAACCCAATGGGTATCTTGACTACACAAAACATTTTTATCCCACATTATTTATGATTTTTTTTTTTTTTACCTAAATTTCTCATGTTCTTCTGCTTGTCGTTTCCATGGACAGCTCTGTATATTTGTGATAATCTGAAGGTAGTCATCCTCTGAAAACCTAAAAGTTGAATGTTAATGAAATTAGAAAATAAAGATTTCACATGTGACTAAGCAAAAATAAAAGTCCTCTTGGAGGAAACGTTAATAATCTACCCATTGTAGCCCTCTAACTCTTTTCTGAAATAAAATGAAGTGAAAATCAGCAAATAACATAAAACTCAAGGAACATAGACTTTGCAAAGAACTATGATGCTGGTTTAGGAATTTGTAATTTGCACATGTCATAAATCAAATCTAGTATTACAGATAAAACATAACACACTTACAAATAGATCTTAACACCATCAACTATAGCTTTAACGTACTGACAAATAAATATGTACCTTATAGATTTTTACCAGAAATATATGGGTTATCATTTTGTCATGCTCTAAATTGACAGCATTACCTTGGGATGTATAGATAACATTTCTCCCAGAAGAATCTTAAATATAAATTCTGAACAGTATCTTTAAAAAATAGATTATGTTTACAATGGAGAAGAGGTGAGAGAGGGACCCTACCCAGAGAAGCAACAATGCCTGAGATGGAGGCAGAGACAATGATGTGGAGCGATGGAGCAGCTGGGGACTTTAGATCCAGAGAGGGAGAGCGACTGTGTGCTGAAGACCTGGGGAGTACTAGGAAGGATTGCGTGGAGGGGATTGTAACCATGGCAATGAGACGATATACAATAGAATGAATGTAAAACTAATGTTTTCCCATGTAAACTATCATATAATTCACAATAAAACATTTAAAAAAAAACAGATTATTTTAGAGATATGATAACTTCTATATATGTTACTAATCTAATAACACAGCGCCATATTTGTTGGTTTACATAATCTTACATCTTTAAAATTTTTTTGAAATATTATTTTGCTGGAATTGTATAGAGCAAATTGGTTTTCTATTTAATAATTCATCTACATTTTGATTCATGACCTTGATTGCAATCCCCACAATAAAAGAGCACTCTTCCCACTTACTCTCTATTTACTGTTTCCATTTGTCCTCTTTTCTTTCCCTTCCTGCCTTCTGAGCTTTAATCCCAGACAAATGCTGCCATTTTCATCTCATGTGGTTGTTATAAGCAGTGTATGCCTCCATGGTGTTCAAAGTTGAGCCATAGGGGTAAGTTCGATGCCCAGCTAGAAGGGTATCTAAGGGCTAAAATCTTGGGACTTCCTCTATTTAACCAGTATTCCAGATCTCTTTTTATGATTTTGAGTTTTGTTCCACATTTTTCTCCCCCTCTATCCAGGACTTCCTATTATGATCCCTTTCAGAGTGGTTGGCAGTGGTAGCAAGGCACCATCTAGTTCTTCTGGTCCCAGGAATGTGACAGCTGTGGCTCAGGTGGACCGTTATTCCTATTGGCTAATTGTGCCTTTGATTTCTTTCACTTTTGTTTGCTCTGGAAGAGGCGAGACCAACAGTTGCACCTTAAATGGTAACTAAGATCGCAAACTATTAAGACTCCAGTCTCTACTCACCAAAGTAGGATGCAGAATATTGTTTTTGAGACCTTAGTGTTCTCCAAGACTATGGTTCCGTTACTCCAGGCCCTGCAACTCATACCCTCAAGGTGCTTGGTTATGGCTAATAAGTTTTCATAACTGCTCCTTCGGTATTCTATTATGTTGTTGTTTTCAAATGCTGTAGAGTCAGTTCCAACTCATAGCAATCCTGTATAGGGCTTCTGAGGAGCAACTGGTGGATTGAACCTTGTGGTTCAAAGTCCAGTGCTGATCCTACAGCACTATATACTCATGGATATATCTGTGGCTCATATACACACGTGTAGAAATATCTCTTACCAAACCTACATTTATATTCACTTTCTTACCTACTTCTGTTCAGCATATGTGTCTATAAACGTTTTCACTCATAGATTATTATTACTGTTGTTGGTCATGCAGGGTTGTGTAATAGTATTTACCTTTGTTGCCTTTAACTCTTGTACTCTCCTAGAGTCTTTCTTTGCCATGATCATTTTGTGCTGACCTCCCCCTTATTATATATTGCCTTTCCATTCACTCAAGAGTATGTCTACCTTCTACTCATGGATTTACCCTTCTTTTGCTCTCTTCCTTGGTAACCTTAAAAGGACATTTATTTCTGTGAGTACATTTTCTTATTTGACTTTTTATATTCGGTTTCTTACAAACCCTGGTGTAGTGCTGTGGGATAATGCACTAAACCACAAGGTCGGTTTGAACTGAAAGATTGGTCTGCTGCTCCTTGGAAACCCTATATAGGGTAACTATGATTTGGAACCAACTCAAAGTCACTTAACAACAACAACAACAACAATATCTGCCCTTTTGTGATTGGCTAATTATACTCAGAATAATGTCCT